CAGCACTTTGTACACACTTTTGTCACCCCACCATGGGACCTTCTTGACTTGCACCACCCCATGGACATAACTTGACCCACACAGCACTTCCTATGTATTCTTGGGTATCATTTGCAACCTTGCTGCCTATCCCACATGGCATCTTGGGAGGAAGGGAGGGAGGGAGGGAGGGAGGGAAGGCAGGAAAGGAAGGAAGGAAATTATAGATTTTATCTTCCTAATGTACAATATGTCTTAAATGCTTAATTAGCATTCTACTGCCCTAAATGTAGGGTTTTTTTTAAAAAAAATGTCATGGTTATGGTATTTTTCCCCCAAAATCATCTACCATGAGAACCCAAAACAATTCTGAAGTTCTTTGTATGCCATATACCTACCCTGTGTGTGATTTCCACTAAAGTAAAAAAAGCATTGATTTATCAAATATAAATTGTTTATGTATTTTTCTCTCCAATAAATATCCATAACTATTCCTTTTTCAAAATAATCGCAAATCACAAAGGAAAAATGTTGAAACATCACATTGGAAAATTTAAGAGTATTTGTTTTGGGATTCTGTTGATTTTATTTTGAAGACAGCAAATCTGAAACCTTTAAGTCTTATTAGAGGGTTTAAAGTTTTCATAACGTATCTAGACAGCTTATATATCTATTGGGAAAACAAATCATCACCGACAAATCATATAGTAAATAGGAAGGGAAATAAATCTGGGAATGATGTTTCAACACATGCAATCACCTTCATATTTCTGGAATCTAATTTTGGGTATAACTTTATTCTCTAGTTTTCAGCATTATCCTGAAGTATTTGTTTAGTTACACACTTTGTTATTCATACTTTTCCAGGTATCCTAGACTGTACTTTTGCTGCTGCTCATCGCAAAAACCAAAACTGTAACCATTGCCATCTAGATTACTGTGATGTGATTAACGTCCACTGTGATTCTCTTTCCTTACAATATTTTGTGTGAATGATAATTATCCTTTGCATGTATTGGCTGCTTTGTTGCCTGGCAGGAGCTCTTCCTGAGGTCCTAGGCCAGGAGGGATCTATGACAATTTGCCATGGCCAACTTGCCACAGCCAACTTGCCATGGCCAACTCGCTGCTTGATAATTCACTGCAGGACATGAGATACACTAATATCAAAGAAATGGTGGAACTGAAGCATTAAAGAAAGTATGAGAAAGGAGGGACAGAATGAAATGTAAATGACAAAAATTAAAATATTTGTTTTAAATAATTAAATTGAGATTATTAAATTGTCCTATGGCAAGTTGTCCGTGACAAGTTATTCCTCAGCAAGTTAGCCATGGCGAGTTGGCTGTGGCCGTGACCCGACAAAAGCGCGCATGACAAAAGTGAGCCGACAAAACTGTATCGCTAAAACCGCGATGTCATCAACGCGCCGACAACAGCGCGTCGACAGAAGGGTGATTTACAAAAGTGCGTCGGCAGAAGGGTGATTTAAGTTAAGGTTAGGGTTAGGTTTAGGGTTAGATTTAGGGTTAGGGTTAGGGTTAGCATTACGTTTAGGGTTTGGGTTAGTGTTACGTTTAGAGTTAGGGTTAGGGTTAGGGTTAGCATTAGGTTTAGGTTTAGGGTTAGGGTTAGGTTTAGGTTTACAGTGCCCTTCTGTCGGCACACTGTTGTCAGTGCGATTCAGCGCTCATTCGTCGGAGCGGTTCAGAACTCACGGTTTTGTCACCGCGGTTTAGTCGGGTTCTTTTGTCGGGCGCGCTTTTGTCGGTGAACTGGCTGTGGCGAGTTGTCCCATTCCGGGCGAGGAGTTCTTAAATTGGAGACAACTGAGGATAATAGAGCAATTTATGTTTGCTTGTTTCTGAGCTGAGGATTCGTTTTGGACTTCCAGTGTCAAAACAACAGTCTGGTTTTGAGAGGTTGGGAAGTAATGATATTATTTGAGACTGACGAAAAGAGGTACCGTAATCAGATAAAACAATTTAAGAGCTACAATCTTAGATCCTGCCAGGATATTGCTACCGAGATCCTCTCACCATTAGGTGCTTAGGAACTTCAAACTATGTGCCATGAGATTTTAGATTTTAGATTTAGATTTAAAGTTTATTTATATGCCGCCCTTTCCCTGGGGGGGACACAGGGCGGCTTACAACTTAAAAAGGGGGGGGGAGACAAACTTTTAACATATAAGACAAATACATAATTAAAACACAACATTCATACTATTCGGGCGGGTTGTAGTCTTAACCCCAGGCCTGACGGGATAGCCAGGTTCTGAGGGCTGTGCGGAAGGTCTGGAGGGTGGTGAAGGTACGAATTTCCACGGGGAGATCGTTCCACAGGGTCCGAGCTGCCACCGAGAAGGCTCTCCTCCGCGTAGTTGCCAGTCGACATTGACCGGCAGATGGGACTCGGAGGAGGCCTAACCGGTGAGATCTAATAGGTCGTGTGGAGGTAATTGGCAGTAGGCGGTCTCTCAAGTATCCAGATCCACTACCATGGAGGGCTTTATGGGTGGCAAGTAGCACCTTGAAGCGCACCCGGAGATCGACAGGTAGCCAGTGCAGCTCGCGGAGGATAGGTGTTATGTGGGTGAAACGAGGTGCACCCACAATCGCTCGCGCGGCCGCATTCTGGACTATGGGATCTTGGAAGTTGCAGGAGTTTGTGACCATAGAATTTCCATGGGCATCTCCAGGGAGAACAAAGAACAAAACAGACAATACAATGCTGTAACATAAACTCTGTTCTTTTTGTACTTCCATCAAGTTACACGCAGGAACTGGGGAGAAGAGCAGAATTTGCACTTGAAATGTTTGTGTATGTTTTGCCATTTTAATAAAATCTTTCTTTGCTGTGGAAGAAAGATCTGGGCTTAGCCAAGTAATTTGGAGCTCATTTAATGGACATATGCTTCATTTAATCCTTGCTTCTGAGCAGCCGATATGTGAGCAGGATACAGAGGATATCAGACTGGCTGCATGGCCAGGAGCAGATCCTTCCTTGATCCAACTGTGGTTTTAAACAGCTTGAAATTTTCACAGCATGGGTGGGCCTGTTAGAAGGATTAACCACAAGCAACCCATCAAACTAGATAAATTCTAATGGGCACCTGAATTTTTTCCCAGTGCTCTAGTGAGAAACTTGGTTGAATACAAGTTAGAGTATCAAGGAATGATATAGGTATTTGATTGGATAGCTCCCAAGCAGCTCATTCCTGCTGGCAAACCATGGAACCCCCTTGGTTTTGCAAGGTCCTTAGAGGCATAACACCTTAGGAACATTGGTAGAACAAATGAAAAATAGATCTAACAGGCACAGGTAAAAGTTCATGTTCAAGCTTTTACAGTGATGATGAGAGTGGCAAACTGGCAATTTTGCTGTTATTATGTTAATGGGTTGTCATTTATTCACAGTGACTCATTGATAACTAGGAATCAATGGGTTGAAGCCCTGACACTTAATCCACAGAATCTGGAGAGATAGGCAGGACAGCAACTTTCATTGTAAAATGGGATTATTTCAGCCTGTGGAATCTGACACACTGTGTCAAGGTATTGTGTTAGCATTTTTCTTGCATCTGTAAGTGGCAGAAGGAATAAACTTGAGGAATATGATAATGCCACCGGGACACTGGTCAGATAAAAAGAAATCTTAGCCTGGGGCAGAAATATGATCAGCCGTAGTGGCAATTATGAGCTGTGGTGGCGCAGGGGTTAGAGTGCAGTACTGTAGGCTACTTCTGCTGACTGCTGGCTGCCTGCAACTTGGCAGTTCAAATCTCACCAAGGTCAAGGTTGACTCAGCATTCCATCCTTCCTAGGTGGTAAAATGAGGATCCAAATTGTTGGGGGCAATATGCTGACTCTGTGAACCACTTAAAGAGCACTTTAAAGCACTGTAAAGTGGCATATAAATCTAAGTGCTATTGCTAAGTGCTATGAGTAAGTGGCATATAAATCTAAGTGCTATTGCTTAGTGCTATGAGTAAGGGAACCCTCTGTTCTGATCCTGGCTTCCTTAAAAAGCAAAAGCAAAGTCTTAGTCCTAACAAAATCTCTTTTATTTACACGTCTGTCAATTCCTTTCATTCAGAGTCGGCAAGGCTTATCAAACAGTCATTCAAAGGGAATGCTTATCTATACACACCTTATCCCATTAGGAGCACTGCCAGATTCTTAGTGTCCAAACACAGAGCAAAGCAAAACTTGGCACAGAGTTTCTCACAAACAGAACTTTCCAGACCGATGAACAAATTGTTTCTTGCAAAATCCCACTCCCCGTTTGTTCCTCTTTTGTTTCCTATGGGAGGGGCCAATCACCTCCTTGGTGTGACTTTACTCTTGAGTCAACCCTGCTTCCTTAGTTGTTCTTGTCTTCTGGCAGCTCTGTGCATGCATGCAATGGGAAGAGGCTCCAGCTGTTCCTCTGCCTCGTTCCCTCTCTGCCTCCAATGCAGAGTCTTCCCCAGCCCTCAGGACTGGCCCCTGATCCTAACCAACCTCCTCACTGTCTAACTCTGCTGCCAGATTCACAGCCCGTCGGCAGACCACAACACCCTCCCTCCAAAATAGTTTTCAGGAAGATAAAGGAAGGGATGGGTAAAGCACATTCAGACTTGCAAGATTCTTTAACTGTAGCATTATAATAAAATGTATATTACATCCATGACTTTGATTTCCTAGTCTGATCTGCCTCGAAAGGCTCTCAGCATCCTTCAGCTATATCCCACATCTTTCTTGCCACTTGTGTAACTGTGATTGAGGCCAAGATTTATCATGAGTAATATGTGTGTTATTAATCATAATAAGCCCCATTCAGAGTATTTTAATTACCCAAAGTGCATAATGTAATCCTTTGTTTCTGTCAGTGTTTTTTTTGTAGGTGACTGAAGGAGGCAGATCACTTTTAGCTAGTCTGAAATGATCTTGCAAAATACCATTCACATCTAGCAAAGAATTAGGTACCATAAGAAAATAGCTAATAAAGAGTAACAACAGTTATTTATGAATTCTTACCTCTTGACTGCAAACCGGCCCCACATGCTTCATTGATTCCTAATACACCTTGCCTTACTGAATCAGGCACCAATAAGCATTGACCCCACTTGTGGACCTTCCAGCTGAAATGGCAAAGGAAGAAGAGTTATGATACATCAGATATTAGTTTGTTTTGTTGGTTCTAATTTCCCCTCGCCACAGAATTTAATTAGGGGGTACACCAATAACAACTTAGTTTACTCAGTTAGGGATATTGGTAGCCCTATTGTGTCACCTGATATGTCATGCCTTATTATGGCAATGGCTTGTGACATGATGCTTGAGAGTAACAGGGCATATGTCGGTCCACTAATTGTTTTAGCAATACTTCCTAATTATTTAGAATAGAATTGATGAATAAACTTATCCACTTTAAATAAAATAATTTTAAAAAGTGCCAAAGACTGTTTCTTTGACGGCTTGATAGTATCTGGATTCAGGGCTTTAAAAAGAAGACATGAAATCAACAATGTTGTTTTTAAATTTTAAAGTTAGGTGTTAAATATCAAAATAAACCAATGCAAGTAGTAACATTTATGTACAAACAGAACTCAAGTACAATAAAACTATTCAACCTTGGAGACTTCTATAGTATGTGGATTCTTTTTTTTTCTTTTGAGCATTTTGGTTTCCAAAAAGAATGTTCATGTTGTTACTGAAACTACTTAAATAAATGATAACAGAATAAGTAAATAAAGTGCAATTTATAAAATATTGCATTTAAATAAGTGTATATTATAAGAAGCTATGGAAAGCCTTGACTCATATACTCTCTTTTGTCCTCTTCTCAAATGTAAATATAAGGATCATATCCTCCAAAAGATGGATAATGTAGAGATCAACTAAGCTCAGAGAGCACCAAGGACCACATAGTTCAACCTTGAGCGCCAAATAAAAGTTTTAAAGTTAGAATGATATGTAGGATTCCCACAATCTGATGGAATTCAGGAGCTTTCTGCATCTCATTTCAGCCAGGGATCCATGCTGAAAGGGTAATTTGGATTTGAGCCAGGATCAAATCATCTCTTCTCTGAAACCCTGAACCTAGTTGTATAATAGTACATATATAAATAACAGTATATTATTATATATTTAGGTATATTACTGTAAACTATAGTATGTTCCTTTATACCCAGATATATTATCACAGTCAATCAAAATAGTGCATTGTCCTAACAGGACAATGAATAGGGCTGAACATATTTAGAAAATGATTTGGAAGAGAAGCTTTGGCTCTCTTGTGATTTTTAAAAGTTTTGCACAAGCCTAAGAAAAAGATGCTACCTCTTTAAGGAATTCACTTCATTCAGATAGAGGTCTGAAAGGGAAGAGGTTGCTTCAATAAAGAATGGAGATGAGTTTTTTTCTAAATCTATGCAGAAGCAAGTATATCACTGGTAATCTGACGAATGGCATTCTGGCAAATCATATGTTCAGAGATATTTTCTTACTTTACCTGTAGGTGGGACAAAGTGAGACGCCTTCACACTCTCTTTCTTCAAATAAGGTATCCGGGCATTCAGATCCTCCATTAAGTGCATCTTGAATGACGATCCTGGAGCGGGACTGTTTTTTTGCGGTGGAATTCCCTGAGATATTTTTAAGCGTATAAAAATGGTTTTCTATCAAGGATAGTTAATTTTGCACATCACTGATCTTCACTTTTATTTCTGAAGTATCTCACTTACTTCAGTCTTCAGTTATATAGGTAGTCCTTGACTTCCGACCACAATTGAGCCCAACCTTTCCATTGCTAAGCAAGAGTTATTAAGTGAGTTTTGCCCCATTTTACAACCATTCTTGACCCAGTCGTTAAGTGAATCACTGCAGTTGTTAAGTTAGTAACATGGATGTTAAATGAATCTCATTTCCCCATTGATTTTGCTTGTCAGAAGGTTGCAAAAGTTGATCACATGACCCCAGGACACTTCAACCGTCATAAATACGAGCCAGTTGCCAAGCACCCGAATTTTGATCATGTAACCATGTGGATGTTGCAATGAACATCCGTGTGAAAAACATTCATGTCACTTTTTACAGTTTTAAACTCAAAGGGTCTCTAAAACAAATAGTTGGAAGTTGAGGACTACCTGTATTGCTTTTAATAAAGAATATTATGTAATTTTATTTCCTGCAACCTTGACGATTCTTTGCGCCAGTGAATCAGGCCCAGAAAAGAGCTGATTATGGAAGAGCCAGCACTGCCCTTCCTAGTCTCATAACCGTTCATTAAAAATAAAGCATGAACAATCATTTTCAGGGTCACATTAACTATTTGCGCAGGTGTGGTTCAACATGAAATTATTGAAAGAATATTACAGCAAAAGAAACATAAAAGGAGAGAAAAAAAGAATGTGTGGGGTCTGGAATCATTATTTTGCTCCTTTTGACTTTTTACAGTTAGGATGTTACTGTAAAACCTTGTCTCCATGGAATAGGTATTCAAGGAAAATAAAGAAAGATCCATTTTCTATATTTGGGTCATCTCTAGCTCTGGTCTGTTTTTTAAAAAAGCACCAGCAATCCACTTATGACAGATTTTCTTGGCTAAAAGAGTACAGAGAAATTAATTTTGGATATTAAGATTTAGTTAAACAATACCACTTCGTTCTCCAGGTTCCCTCCAGCTCTCTGAATATTTCCTGTATGTTTCACAAAAAGACCCTATTACATTAAACCACTCTTCAGGGGCAAAAATACTTTGCTCAGAATAACTTTAAATAGATTCAGATTATTTTATTTCCAAGCAGAGTGAGTACACAAGATAGAAGAGAACTAAAGCATTTTTTCTGTATTTGGTTTTAAATTTCTCTTTTTAATTTTTGTCTTCCGATAACTGTTAATACCTTAAGCACTCAATAGAGCAAGATAAGTCTTTGGTAGAAAACTGTCATTTTTCTGACATTTAACTGCAGGGCAAGCAATAGGTAGAAAAGCTGAACACCAATTGCCCAGTTCAGCTCTTCATATTTTATCTAACAGACTGCTGCCAACATCTGATGTGACTTTCAATGCTGTTTGCATAAGCTGCCATTATTTTTTCAGATACTCAGTTTTATCACTGGCAAATTAAAACTTGATTGTGATTATGTTTGCAGCTTAGCCACTCAGTGGTTTATGTATTTGTTAAATAATCTTTTCTGTTTAATTTAGATGCATTCACCATTGAGTGGCTTTCTAAATTTCCAATTGTGCTATGTTTTTAATTGTGCAGCATAAATTAAAGAACTCACAAAATAGCAAATCAAAAGTAAATCCAGTGCATAACACAATTCTTACCACTTAGTTTTAATTTAGAATCATATTAAATGATAACTATTTCAATGAAATTAAATACATATGATGTTGGAGAGGCTTTTTAATGCTACAACATTTCTTAATAAGCAGAATAATGTATATCTGAATTCATTTTCTTTCTCTAAGTAACATTTAAAAAACAACAATTAATTACCATATTATTTGCTTTGTTTTAAATGGACTATAAATTCTTTCTTCAAATATAGTGCCATTGCTATTCACAAGCAATAACTCATTTTTTACTTATAAAAAATAAGTAAAATGAATGAGAACAAAGATGAGAATAAACAAAAGCTCAGTCAAACAAGCAAAAATATTGCAAAAAAGCTCTATAAGCTTAAAAAAACATATTCTACGAGATATTGTTAGAAGTCTTTCTCAGGGAGAGAATATGTTTTATTGTTCAGAGTAAATAAAGAGAGGCAGTGCAATGTTGAGTTCAGATCAAATCTTTTCTAAGTTATGAACTTTGCCATGTGCTATTTCCAAAGATAGTCTTGCTGTTAAATCTCTTTTGAGGTACACATGGGAAGAAAACAATACTTAGCCACCGTCTGCTTTTATTCTTATAACCGTGATGGCGAACCTATGGCACATGTGCCAGAGGTGGCACGCAGAGCCCTCTCTGTGGACACGTGTGCCATTGCCAGCTGCTCTTCTGGCACACACATGTGTGCCAGCCAGCTGGTCTTTGCATGCACTGGGAGCCGAAAACCGGCACTCTGGCTCGTACGAAGACCAGCTGGCCAGCGCACATGCAAACACTGGAAACCAGGAGAGCAGCTGGCCGGTGTGCACATGCACACCGCACAGCCGGTCTTTGGGTTTCCAGTGCTCCAGCGCACACACACCTGCACACACGCACGTTCCAGTTTGGGTACTCAGTGCCAAAAAGGTTCATCATCACTGTCTTATAACATTACTATGAGATTCTCCCCAACAATGAATTTTGGGGTATGTCTCAATGCCAGGGAAAACTTCAGCTTTCTATGTAGAATCTGAATTTATACATTCAGATAGCTAAGTCAACTATCTAAGTCAGAATATCTAGTTCATCTTTAGAATTTATTCAATCTTTCATACAAATAGCTATTATGATTTCAGCACAATTAACTCAAACATCCTGCTGAGGGTAAGGGTGATAAGTTATATGTTGTCACATTATTAAGTGACACACTGGACTTAAAAGCTAGGGGTGGTTGGGTTTGGTTTGTACCTGAATGAGAACCTCCAGGGAATCCCACACTGAGACGTTAAAAAAAAAAATACAAGAAGACGGCAATGGGAAACCACTCCCATATTTCTCTTCACCCTAAATAAATAGATATATCCTTCTAATCACCAGGAATCAAGTTCTCTAAGTTTAATTATGTTTAGTGAAGGTTTAGTCAAACTGTAGTGACAATTCCTCTCCAAATATTAAGTTGAGATGCATGAACATATGTGTGCTTTGCCTACTGCTAAGGTAAACTCACAGTAGATCTGAAAGAACAGGGACGAGGAAGAGAATATAAAATACAGGTTGGTAGTGAATATGTGTCCGTGAAGTCACCAGGAATCAAGCTTAACTTGAAGATCTGACTTTATATCAGCTTTAAATGTGTAAGGTTTGAGCCAATGGGGAAAACATCAGGCAGTAGGGAAATGATTGTAAAAACAGCTGCTTTCACAGCAATCAGTTTGTGACAAACTAGATGTGAATGCAGGTAACTTGCAATTTTTCTGAAATAGCGGCATCTGAGCGGCCTGAACAGCTCAAACTGTGGATTGGAGGGAGGGCAAAGAAATCTCTGTCCTGGTAGGAGGAAAAGCTCCTCTCTGAAGTCTTTACTTGTATTTGAAAGGCTTTATTAACAAAGGATTTTTTGCTGAAATGCAAGTAGGTAATTCGGCTATTTGTAGACTCCATGGATAAGTGCTTGCTACTTCTACCTCTCTCTAATAATATACTGTGGCTCTTCCAAAGAGAATTCTGTAATCTCCTTGATCCTGCTCATCTACCCTATCTGTTGCCTCCTTTTCCTTCTTCAAGCAATCTTGCCGAGGATAATAATTTTGTCTTAGTTCAGTATCTACTGATATTATATGCTCCGAAAATGTGAACTTCTGCTGACCGATTATCACAAAGGGAAAAAGCTATGTTTGTTTGATTTGGTATCCATTAACTGATTTTCTTTCCAGTCCATGATCATCTCCATAATAATAATCTTCAGATCCATATCAAAATATTCTACCTAATTTTTCTCACTCTTTCTAAGTATTCTGGTTTCATAGTCATACACTACCACTGGAAAAAAATTGTAATTTTAACGACTCTGAACTTTGTTGTCATAAATATATCTTGATGAAGTTTTTGAAGTTAATCATATTCTACATCACTGGGATTAATTTCTGGTTTAATTTTTTCAAGCTCACTCTCCATCTTTATTCCTGAACTTAAAAATATAAAAGTTTCTATCAACCTTCACTTCTTTACTATCAACCATCAGAGTTAATGGAGCCTCTGGGTTAAGATTACCTTTGCTTTCCAAATTTGGAAAACTAACCTTCATTGTTCACGTTTCATTTTTATTTTTAGAATAAGCTCTTCTTCATCTTCTTTATTTTCTTTTAACAAAGCACTGTCATCTCCAGTTTTGATTTCAGCTGTCATCTATTTAAATCCTGCCGGTTTTTGTGATATATTCATTGCATAAATTAAACAGATACAGTGACAATACATACCCTTGTCTCATTCCCTTCCTTATTCTGCTTCTCCAAATTTAGTTTCAACAGTAGCTTCTTATTCAAAGAAAAGATTCATCAGAGGAATAATTATGTGCTCTGGCACACCTTTAGACTTAATATGTTCTGTGTCAGACATTAACTCCAACAGTATTTTTCCAAAATTGGCAATTTTAAAACGTCTTAAAGTTGCCATGTTGGAAAAACCATGATCTATATGATCAAAGGCCTTAATGCGCCACATGAAGCAAAAATAAACCTTCTTTTGCTCTCTCTATTACATATCTTATATTAACATTTGAACTGCACATCTCTCTTCCTTTTTAAATAATTGTACATTTGGCATCTCTCTCTTTTTCGGTAAGATCTTAAAAGAAAATTTGCTTGCATGAGATTGCTGTGATAATTCAGTAATCTGTGTATTCTCTCAAATTTCCCTTTTATGGTGTAATATCTGCATCAAACCTATTCTTTATTTAGTGACCTAGAACTGTTAACACTTAAATTGCCTCTTCTCTGCCAGCTTCAAACAGTACAGTTATTTTATATGCATATTTACTTTCCTATTGATAGCTGGATTTTCATATGTCACTTTCTAATGGAATTGTGTATTCCCTTTTCTAAAAATGTTTCTGTAGAGAAATGCTATACACTTCCAATTCTAAATCGTGTCACCATAATCTTTCCATCTTCCTTTAACCTCATTCGCTTCTATTAGAAGTTTTTCATGTTTACTACTGAGTATTTCTACCTTACATAGAACTATTTTCCTATGGTGTCTTAAACAATTAATTTTATTGCTATTTTATTCTCTCTCTCTCTCTCCCTCTCTAACTCTCTACCCCACTCCCTCTCCCCACCTCTCTCTCCATTCTTTGCATTCTTGAGGTATTTTTCCTAGCCCTTTCTTGTATGAACTGGAAGCCTGAATTCAGTTGTATGTCCAGGTCCAATTACCAAGTCTCTCCTTATCCTTTCAAGTTTTTTAAAAAACCACTAAGATCCATTCAACTTTGGGATTTATTTTGCTATATTGGTTTTCATTCTGCCCATTATCTCTTTGCATAGCATCCCATGTTCTGTTCTTTAAATTGAACTGACATTATGACTCAAGGTCAAATCTTGCTGCATGTCTACTTTCCTTAAGTTTATAAATTTAACCAAATGTTTGATACAAACAATGAATAGTTTGTACCACAATTAAATCTGGAAGTGTCTTAGTATGTCTTCTGTTTCATATGAGGCATTTACTTAAATCAAATCTTCCCGTACGGTAATTCCAGGAGCTCCCATTTGTCCAACTCTGGAATTCTAATGATTTTTTAGAAGTCCTATATCTGTGCTTGATGTTGCATTGGCAACTCTTGAAATTTGCCATAGAATGCCTCATTATCTTCTACCATCACATCTGTACTAGGTACATACAGTACATTTTAGTTCTATTGACTTGAATATCTATGAGCCTATCATTTATTGGCTTATTGCCAAGTATATCCTTAGCTATGCCATGTTTTTAATATTAATTTCATTCCCTTGTTTCATATGGCCTCATGTCCTGAAGAGTATATCATGTAATCACCTCATTTAAAGTGGCCCATCAGCTACCTGAGATCACCTATTCTGAAACATTCTATATAATATGTTTCACTTCTGCTTTGATAAATGAAAATGGTCCTTGAGTCATGCTTCCTGTTCCAACTGTATATATCCTTATCAAACTAAGAATTACTTTTCTGACATTACCAGTGGCCAAATTTCTGTGTACCTTTAGTCTCAGCATATTGCCACCCCTAGATCTGCTTACAAAGTTTGTTGTTCTAGTTATTTTTCAGTAACAATAAGAGTTCCATCTAACCTGAGTGTCTTTTTATCCGACATACAAACTTCTTTATATTTCAGCCATTGCCTTTTTCTGGACTTGCCTTTGAAGATTTTTGTTATCAGTGAGTTGCCTTTCCCCTTGTCTGCAGATACTCATCCACCCTCCCTTTCTCTTGTGGAGTAGTCTTAGCCTTGTTCTGACCTAGAGTTCCCACTCCCATTTATATTATCCTTAGAATCATTAAAGCCACTAAGTCCTCTCACCAAGTCACATTGATAAATCCTAGGAGGAACATAACAAAAGCATACAATACATGTGCTATTTGCATTCCTCTAATAAAAACTGTTAGTAGAATAGGTGTCAAAGCCTAGCACTCTTAACAACTTTTGTGAAGTTATTAAGAGTGAGTTTGATGGGTTTTAAGGTCAGGCACACTCATTTTACAACAGACACAAAAGGATTATGTACAGGATCCGAGTGCTCATTTAGAGCTTCATTTCAAAATGTATTTCAAATCCAAAATGTTACTAATATTGTCTGCGGTAGGATGAAAACAACTGGAGGATCAATCCTCACTCATCTACACCAGCTTACCATGTTGGCAGGTGGTAGGGCAGCGTGTCCATTCACTGAAGGGAGTCACTACACAATCTTTCTTACACGGGAGCAAGCATGAGCGGATGGTTTCTGGTTTAATGGATTCTGGACACCTGGCAATACAATTGTATAACATGTGGTTAATTAGGTGCCCCTGTATTGAGTTCAATTCTGGATAACTACAAAAGAGTCTGCTAAACATTACAAAACATTACTTTAGCAAAATGGAATCCCTACGTTGATCTAAGAATGAGTCTCGCTTACTGTAGGAAGACTGCACGTATTACCAAATTAATTTTAATTTATTTTGAAACAAGAACTGTACAATTTCACACAGAAATATAATTTATAGTAATTGCCACTATGAAATAAAAAAATGCCCACCTACTTGCCATTGATGAGAAAGAACTGAATGCAAGACATTGACAACCTAAAGAACCAATATCGCTAAGTGCAGGTAGATGGACAGAAAACAGATTTCTTCAGGGTTGTTGTTTTTTTTTTTTTTTTTTGCAAGGCATATTAAATTATTTCCCTGGCATTCCCTAGTGAAATTGAATTTAGCAGGCTGGATTTGGAGTTTCTTTTTAAAAAACGTTAAGCATTTTGCAATATTTCTAGTGAAGAAAGAGTGAGAAGATGTGATTATCACTGATCTTTCCCTCCCTGTGCTATCTAGCATTGGTTTGAGACAGCTTGCATAAATGTCTCATCAGGGTAGGTAGATATTTCTGGGAGGAATGAATGAAGTATATTCTCCTTGTGGGTTCACCAAGGCATGAAATTCATCTCATCTGCCCTGTAAAGTAGGCAGGGACTTGTACTGGGCAGCAAAAATATTAAAAGATGCTAGAGATGGATGTCCATTTTAATGAAAATGACAAGGGCATCATTTCAGATTGCACAGAAGGCAGTAGTAAACCACTCCTGTATTTTATATAGATAACCACACTGACAGACAAGATAAAGTAACTGATAATATAGTGATAATCTAGTGCTGGATAATGGGCTCCTCAAAAGCTAGTTTGGTGTAATGATTTAGGCATCAGCCTAGAAACTGGAAGGTCATGAGTTCTTGTCCTGCATTAGGTACAAATCCAGCTGGGTGACCTAGATGATTTATCAATTTCTACAATCCAATGATTTCTTCATAATTATAAGGAAGATAATATTCATAAATAAAACTTCAAAAATAAAATAATGCCTGTATTTATTGATGTCATCAGATGGATTATGCTACAGGGATGGGATTTTACTGGTTTGGACTGGTTCTGGCAAACTGGTTCCCTCTGACATTCAGCTGGGCCTGCCCGCCTGCCCCTGCGCTGTACTCACCTGTATTTCCCTTTTCTGAAGCCCAGCTGATAGGCACAGCAGAGTTGATTGCCACGCCTCAGGTGTTTCCCACCCCAACAGTAATGTGGAAGGTGATTTCCCTGTAAACTGTGCATGCGCGCAAAGTGTGCGCTCAGCAAACCGGTTGTTAATCAGTAGGATCCCACCCCTGATTATGCAGAAATCAAGTTGACTACCTATTACTGATACAAAGTGGTGAAGCTCAATTATAAAAGCTGTGGGCAGGGGATGATTATGGAACAGATTATGAACTGCCCATGTGCAAATTCCACATCAAAGTAAAGCAGAAGAGCGAAATGCTTCCACAATTTGATATTAAGCATATACCCATCAATTTTAAGGAGAAAGGAGAAATAATTTTGAAATCCTGAACTTCATTGATAGGGAACTGGAGAAACTTGAGGAATGTAATAAAAGAAGATTTAAAGATGGCTGAAAAGAAAGAAAAAAAACCAAGATGTCAGAACAGGTAGTGGAAAATGTCAAAAAGAGGAGACAAGCCAAAGGAAGTGAGAGAAAAAAACCCAGAAAGGAACTCCCATGCTCCCATGGAAGACTGGTGGTGGGACCAGAACGGAGCATCACCTTCCCTATAGGTATCTTTCTGGATCCTTTCATGACATTCAGTACCATAAGTTACAGTGTCCTTCTATATGGGTTGTTGTTCTCGCTAAGAGTTGGAGTTGGACACATTGTATTATGGTGGAACTGTCCTTTGTAAATTAGCAGAACCACTTAATGGATCCATGGGAGAAAACTTGGATGGGACTCTGTTAAGTGCATCAAGGATGGCCATTCATGCCCTTATCCTCTCTTAGTTGGATTATTGCATTTCATTTTACCTAGGGTTGACCTTCAACAACATTCAGAGGTTATCAGCTGGTACAAAATACAGGGACCTGAGGTTTCACTAGCATTGGCATGTTAATCCACTATTAAGAAGACAACTTTGTCAGATAGACTCTGCCTACTCCTATCAGGTGATGTTGGGGAAGTGCCACAATGGCAGAGTTCACTGAGACAGCCCTGCTTCCTTAAAACAGCTTGTCTCCTTTGTGAGGATGGTTCCTACTACTTTACAAAAGCTTATGAAAACTTGGCCATTCATGAGTCTTTAGAAATCAATTAATATGCACTCATCAGCACTGGCATTGATTTTAGATGTTGTATTCTTAGGATAACAATGCTGATGGAATTGTTTTAGTTTTAGCATTTATGTTCTGTCTCATGTCTGCTTGGGTAGAGCAAAAGATAAATAGCATATATAAAATAAAACCATTCAAATAACTAAGACATTAATCTCTGACAGCTTTTATGGTAGGAACTAGAATACAATGGAGTATATTTTGTTTCAATCAACAGTCAAAAATTTGGTAGGAACCAAACATAAATCATATGGTTGTAATTGTGTGCAAATTTAATAATGTCAAGCTTTTCTTAAGTTAATCGAAGCACACTGTGAAATGCATTGTTTTAATAAGTTTGTATATTGTTCTCTGATGAATTCTCTGTATATAATGCCTTTTTATTAGTATTGGTTTTTTTTGTCTCTTTCAATTTTATTATTCGTTTTTCTATCTACTTGGAAGCCTTTAAAATGGAAAATGTATTTAGCTCCCATTTCCTTCAAATAAAAAGAAGGAAAAATCCTCATTTCATAAATTGCACTCTAAGGTAAATTGAATATTTATGTAGATACATAGATCTCCTTGAAGTTATCCTATGTTTAATCATCTCTACAGCAGCTCTTAAAGCAACTCTGAATGTTTAAATTTTCATAAATAGACAAATACAATATAATAAGCAGATCAAGCCACATACTATTTTTTTCTTTTTGTTATTGTGATGAAATTCACAAATTTATACTCACCCCCCCCCACTTCTAGCAACTTAAACAAATGAGTCACATGAGATATAGAACATAAAGCTTAGAAAAGAAGACAGGACACCAGCATCTTATAGCTAACCATATTTTAGTTGGGGGGAAAAAAACCCCTAAATAATGTTAATTTTTCTGCTATATAAATCACATTTTGGCATATAGGTACTATGCTAATCCTAGCATGATTTTCCTTGTCCAAAGAATGGCTGGCTGGCTCATGTAATGTGAACTCCTCTCTGGTATCATGGAACAATATACTGTTCCATAGATAGATAAAAAAAAAAAAAAAAGTACTGCAGATAAATAAAAAATTGATTCCAAAAGTCAATGAGAAAAATATAATCAACTGGATTATGTTGATTAAGAAGCCAGGACTGGCAAAACCTGTTAGCACAAGCTTTCTTCAGATCTTCAGATTCACTCTGACGCGTATTGCTAAATAAGCCCTGAAGTGACCAAATTAAATCATTTTTTTTCTACTGAAAAATTAGCAGTACCAATTTCATAAATTTCTGTGGCGATGCACATTAAATTATGTTAGAGGAGAGGTGTCAAACTCACGTTGTCATGGCAGCATCACATGACGTATCAGGACTCCCCCCCACTTTGTTAAACTGGGTGGCCAGTATGTGACAGATCCGGCCTGTGGGCCAGGAGTTTGACAGCCCTGTGTTAGAGGAAGATGTTCTTTCACTATTGTTTCTGATCACATCTTCTTCTGATATTCCAAGCTAATCGCTAAACTCTACAACTTTTGCTTCAGCAATACATCTATGTCATTAGATTGCTATATAAGAGTAAAGACCCAATTATGTGTTAAACAATGTATGATGAAATAGAGAACAAAGCCAAAAGCTGATGAAACTTCTTCTTCTGAAGGAACAGGAGGGTTTTTTTTTCTTATCAATTAGTCTCATTATCTTAAAGCATTTTAATTAACTGTACAGGAGTCAACACAGCCTGCTCATTTTCAGGAGGTATTTTTGTGGGTTGTTTTTTTTTTTTTTTTTGAGAGAGAGAAAGATGCAATAAGAATTGAAACTAGTTTGTAATTCTCTAGACTCATTAACAAAGCACAAAAGTAATTAGCAATGTCTTGATTTGGAAAAAAAATGCAGAAACATCTGTATTTCTAATTTCTCTCAGCTACTAAAGCCAAGCAGATTAGGTCAGCTGCGAGGCTAAATATCTTCTTTAGAATCGTATTTGTTTTTCATACGATAATTTAAATCAAACCTAATGGTGTAGTTAGTAGCTATTCAGCATCTTTTTTTTTTAATCTAAGGTTGGACCGTAGGATCTGTGAACAATTAAAATATGATTTGAAAAAAAAAAATACTTCAGACCTCATGTGTCCCCAGCACCTTCCTATTATTCCTTAAAATAGACTATTTTTATTTTACTAGCTTGTTTGTGATTCTGGAAAAAAAAGAGATGCTAGTGTTGCTTTAAGGAATCTTCCTCATTAAAGTTAATGTGACTCTTTGCAATATCTTTTGGGGCCTATTCCAGAAAATAGCAGAGAGGGCCCTTTATTCACCTAAGATCTAAAATACTTCTGGCAAAATCTATACAGTCCTCATAAATTTACTTTAAAGGAAACAGAATCAGTTTTGAAAGCATTTTCCTACTGTAGAATCATTTTGGTAAAGATGCTCAGTAAAACTTAGTCTCACATGCCCAAAAACTTTGCCCTTAGCAGTTTAAAATAACACTTAGTTACAAACCCTGCACTATTCACACAAGTGTTTTTGTTTCTGATATGGGAGCTTCTCTCAAGGTGAAACTTGAGGTGGAGGTGAGGCGAAATCTTAATACATGAAATTAAGTCCAGATGAGGAGGAACAAACTTTGCATCTTTGGGCCAAACAATTCCAGGGGAGCACTACCTTTGTCTCTGAAAAGGGTTTTATACCCCAGCTCAGAAATTATGCAAACTTGGGGCTCCTCCAGAACTCATAGCTCCTGCAAGTGATAGCTGTGCCAGAAGGGTTTCCACACATTTATGTCATTGCCTGAATTTCAGGACTATAGTTAAGGCCTAGGTCAGTGATGGCTAACCTTTTTCCCATCGCGTGCCAAAAAGGGACCCCGGGGTGTCATGCACGTCCATGCCCACACCCATAATTTTATGCATTCTCCCTCCATGCATGCCACCCTGCACTCCCCCCACTTTTGGCAAGGTGGACCCATTTTCTAGGAGCCTGGGGAGGAGGAAAAAGACCTCCCCCTCGAGGGAGAAAACAACCCATTTGCCGACTCCCAGTCAGACCAGAAGGTCCATTTTTTGCTCCCCCCAGGCTCCAGATCCTTTCTAGGAGCCTGGGGAGGGCTAAAATGGCCTTCCCAGAGGCCCTCCGGAGGACAAAAATAGCCCGTTTGCTGACTTCTGGTCAGACTGGAAGGCTTGTTTTTCGCTCTCCCCAGACTCAAGAGCCTTTCTAGGAGCCTGGGGAGGATAAAAATTGCCTCCCTCTCCAGACCCTCCAGAGGACAAAAATGGCCCATTGCTGACTTCCAGTCAGACCAGAAGGTTCATTTTTTGCTCTCCCCTGGCTCCCTGGGGTGATGGAGCTGAGCTCGTGTGCCCACCGATATGGCTCCGCATGCCACCTATAGAAATCATGTCATAGGTTCGCCATCACTGGCCTAGGTTTTCTACCTTATCTGGGAGAAAAACACATTTCACATATTACAAATTTACAGGAGAATAAGCCAAATATTATAGCCATACTATATACCTTTTAGCTGGGACCTGGCCAGAGTTATTTTTCACACAAAAGACCCTCCTAGTCTGTACTCCAACTCCACAGGTTGCCCTGTTGTTCCAATTGATAGTCGTATTCAGAGTTGTTAGCAAGGCATTTTCTGAACAGAGACTCCATGCAGAGGTTTCCCAGTATAGCAGATTGCAAGAATGCTCATTACACAGTCGATACTCCTGGAGTGACGAAGGAGAAGGACAAGGCTTTCCACCTGTGAGTGATAAAAGCAACATAAACTCTAGCAATAGTTTCAAAAATAATGCCACTATTCAAGACGACACACTGCCTGCAGTAAATAAAGTTCCAAAACCAAGTTGTGCATTGTAGAAGTCAATCGAAAAAAAGGAGGAATCTTTAAATACCTATCTTAAAAAAGGTGTTTTCAAACTTTTTAAGGCTCTAGGTCTTGTTAGGTTTAAAGAAAAAAGAATAAAAATTGGGAAAATAGTAGTATGTATACTGATATATAATAGAATATATTATAATTACAATGTATACACAAATGTTAGAAGTTGAAGGATTATGATTATGTGTATCTAAATATTATTATTCGCAACAACAGAATTTTATCACAGCAGCCAGTTGTTTTGCTGGATTTGGCATTGATTACTAGTCGGGTGCCACCCAGGGGCCTAGGACATCATAATGTATTTTCATAATATGCGTGCAGATCCAAGCAGTGCGGCTTTTTGCATTGGACTGATGGTGATTTTGCCAATTTTTAACTGTTTTAAATGCAATTCCAGTGCTTTTGAAATAGCACCCAGTGTGCCAATTACCACTGCTGGTTTGTGCCATAATCGTTGAATTTCTATTTTCAAGTCTTGGTATTTCACAATTTTTTCATATTCCTTCTCGTCGACCCTGCTATCACCTGGTATTGCGATGTCTATGATTGTAACCTTATTTTTGTCAACCAGTGTGATGTCTGGTGTATTATGCGCCAGTATTTTGTCCGTTTGTATATGAAAATCCCACAAGATCTTGACCATCTGATTTTCAGTGACTTATTATTATTATTATTATTATTATTATTATTATTATTATTATTATTATTATTATTATNATGTACCTCTAGAAATTGTTTTGAATTGTTTGTGTCTGTTGTGGTATGAAAGAGAAAAAACGTTCTTTGAATTGAAAGGCTCTTCATGGGGAATATTGATGGCCAGTTATATAGATCATTTTAGATAGTTCACAGATCCATGGCTGCTTCCCAGTGGTGGGATTCAGCCAGTTCACACCTATCAGGGAGAACCAGTTGTTAACTTTTTGAGCAGGTCGGAGAACCGGTTGTTGGAAGAAATCTTGTTTTGTTTTTTTTCTACTTTACAGGGCTAATCCTATAAGGAAGGCAGGAAGGAAAAAATTCTGATGCTGTTTCTAGCCTAATCTTTATTGCCCTCCTTACAGAAACTGCCTCACTGGTTAACCCTTATTACCATTGTAACAGCTAAGGTGAAGCGCCCATCGACCTGAGTGACATTGAGTTGGCCACACCCAAACAGTCACATGACCACCGAGCCCCGTCTACCCAGCTGGTCATAAGGGCAGAGAACCGGTTGTTAAATTATTTGAATCCCATCACTGTTTCCTATCCACCGCAATTATACATCAAGGTTTTTCATCCTCCTCCAATTAAAAAAATTAGCTCCCAACATCATTACTACCAATGCCCTTGATTACAGCTGGCAGCCTTACATCACCCTAGATGTCCCAAAAGGTGTTTTTTTTTCAAGAGGCAACTGGACTTTCTGGTTTTTCTTTGAAGAAGTTTTGCTTCTCATCCAATAAACTTCTTCGGCTGGATGGTGGGGAATGAAAGGATTCCAGTCAGAGCTGAAGAAACTTCTTGGAGGAGAAGCAAAATGTCTTCAAAGAAAAAAACAGGAAAGTCCAGCTGCCTCTTTACAAAAGCACCTTTGCGACAACCATGACCTGGATGACTGAGAATCTTTCATAGACTAGGGGTGTCCAAAGTTGGCCACTTTAAGACTTGTGGACTTCCACTCTGGCTAGGGAATTCTGGGAGTTGAAGTCCACAGACTTCAACTCCCAGAATTGCCATAGACAATCACTCTAGATGTGTCCATTTCTACAATACAGGTAGTCCCCAACCATTTGTTTAGTGATCGTTCAAAGTTACAACAGCACTGAATAAAGAGACTTATGACTATTTTTCACACTTAAAGACTGTCGCCGCATCCAAATGGTCACTTGATCAAAATTCTGGCATTTAGCAACTGGCTCATATTTATGATGGTCGCAGTCAGGGGTGGGATTGAAAAATTTTAGCAACTGGTTCTCTGGCCGGTTGCTGGGTGGGCGTGGCCTACTCGGCCTCCTCATTGCGGGGGTGTCACCCTCCCCAGGCTGTGGAGGCTTTCCTTGAGCCTCCCGGAGGACAAAAACGGCCTCCCCTGGGCACCAGAGACCCTTCGGAGGCCGGAAATGAGCCTGCTTCCGGACATCTGGAACTTCCGGTAGGCCTGTTTTTTGCCCTCCCAGAGCCTCCGTGTGGGCCCTGTACTTACCTGGCATGATGAATGGGCTACGTGGAGACTCCTGGGAGGGGAAAGGTGGGCGGGGCCAGCCAATCTTCGCAACAACCGGTTCACGAACCAGATGCAAAATTAGCACCCGGTTCGCCCAAACCGGTGCAAACCGGCTGAAACCCACTCCTGGTCATAGTGTCCCGGGGTCATGTGATCACTTTTTGTGACTTTCTGACCAGCAAAGTCAATAGGGAAGCCAGATTCACTTAACAACCGTGTTACTAATATAACTGCAGTGATTCACTTAACAAATATTACAGGAAAAGTCATGAGGCAAATCTCACTTAACAAATTCTTCACTTGGCAATATAAATTCTGGCCTCAATTGTGGTCATAAGTCGAGGAGTACCTGTATACACATTCCCCCTGGAGCAGGGACTTATATTTTATAGGCGCACAACAAAATGGAAAATATAGCAATGGCAATTAGACATACACCGCTTTACAGTGCTTTACAACCCACTTGAAGCAGTTTTATAGAGTCAGCATATTGCCCCCAGCAATCTGGTGCATACTTATGGACCATTGCTGTGTCCCAAGATCATGTGATCACCGTTTGCGATCTTTTGACAAGCACAATCAATGGGGAAGCCAAATTCACTTAACAACCTCAGAAGGATGCAAGGCCTTGAGTCAACCTTGAGCCTGGAGGGATTTGAACTGCCAAATCGCAGGGAGCCAGCAGGCAGCAGAAGTAGCCTGCAGTGCTGAATCCTAACCACTGCGCCACCACGACTCATAATATAATTCCAGGGTCCCAAATCTCAGGGTCCAATTAGGGAGCTAAGATGAATATGCTAAGCCGAATGTGCATTCCCTAATGTGCATATCAAGATTTGGATCTTACCACATGAATGTCCTTCAACGTCATCAAGAAGGTTTGCTGTGGAAGCTGCCGTCCCCATCCTGGATTGGTGTTAAGGAGAACATAATCCAAACCATACGTCAAATGGAAATCCCGACCAATGAGCAACGCTGCTTAAAAACAGCGGAAAAAGGTCATTGAACCTCCCTGGGGTTTGAGACTGGCCTCCACGCCACTTCCTGGAGATCCACACTCAAGGTGGGTGATAAGATAACAAGATAAGATCATCTTTATTGTCAGGCAGAACAACACTCATTAAAATGAAATTCCTATGAACAGCTCTTGAAGGAATACCACCCTTCTGAATCATGTCATCATCCCAACGAGAATACTACTAATAATATTATAACAACAGCAACCCCCCCACAAATATCAAATTATTCAAAAATGATACCAAAAACCTATATTAATCACAATCCATTTTGAATATATAACATTGGGGGGGGGGGGATCTTGAAAGTTAACAAGGTTGATGCCATGTGGAACAAAGGTAAATCTGATTGTTCTACTTCTGTGGTTACTAAGCAAGAAAGGGAGTCCTACCCTGTTTTCCTGAAAATAAGACCTCCTGGATAATAAGCCCAATCGGGCTTTTGAGTGCATGTGCTAAAATAAGCCCTCCCCTGAAAATAAACCCTCCCCTGAAAATAATGTAACACAGCAGCAGCCATGAGGTGACCACACTCACCGTCTCCTGCACCTCAAAAATAATAAGACTTCCCCAAAATTAAGGCCAAGCGCTAATTTCAGGGGGTCAAAAGAAAAAAAGACCCTGTCTTATTTTTTGGTAAATACAGTAGTTTTAATCCCTGGTCCCATTTGGAGCAAGAAGAGAGCCAAAAAAATTAGCCAAACTGATGAATACCACCAGAACACAATCGGTAGCCAACTGATGGGTGTAGGAAGTTACAATGGGGAAAGGCAAAGAATCCTGCATTCAAATTCCTGTTCATAATTCCTATAGAGGAATTATTGAGTCTGTCATCTGCACCACTATAACTGTCTGGTTTGGCTCTGCAACCCAACAAGATGGTCACAGACTTCAACGGATAATTAGAACTGCAGAAAAAACAATGGCTACCAACCTGCCTTCCATTGAGGACTTGTGCACTACACGAGTCAAAAAGAGGACTGGGAAAATATCTACGGACCCCTCGAATCCTGGACATTAATTGTTTCAACTCCCACCCGCAAAACGAAGGTATAGGGCACTGCACACCAGAACAACTAGACACAAGGACAGTTTTTTTCCCAAATGCCATCACTCTGCTAAACAAACAATTCTCTCAACACTGTCAAACTATTTACTAAGACTGTATTACTATTCTTCTTCTTATCCTTCTTATTACCTCTCTCCTCCCACATAAGTATAACCTTGTTGCTTGTATCTTTATGATTCATACTGTTTTATTTAGTTTCCTAGTACGATTTGTGTTAGGAATATAATCTAACGGTTGGATTGGCAATATATAAATCATGTAACAATGTTCTACCTGTTTCTTTAAATCATACTGTAAAATGTGATTGGTTGCTGTTTTCCTCAATAAGAGGGAGCCAGAATGACTGTTAGCTCTCTGTTTGTTAGATGCTGGGGGCTGATCTGATCTGAGTGTTTTGGAAGCTGGCTGTTAGAAAGTGCCGAGAGCTATTGTAAGTTTTGCAACTGCTAGCAAACTTTGAGTACTGAACTGATTATATGATACTGGACTATGTTATTTGGATTATCCCTTATCATTGATGACTGACTGTCTTATCCGTATATGACTTGGACTGTTTGATGGACTCTGATACCTCTATTTCCACAAAAGTAAAAGCCTATTTAAACTGCAGTGTCTCTATGCTGGTTTGTGTGTTCTCTAACACAACACTCACAACGCTTCTCTGAACGCACTCGCTCTCCCAACGGGGAGCTTACCTAATTGCTTATTAGTAACCTATGACTATCACTAAGCGATCTTATGATTCTTGATGAACGTATTTTATTTTTCTTTATGTACACTGAGAGTAAGTATATGCACCAAAGATAAATTCCTTTTGTGTCCAACAACACTTGGCCAATAAAGAATTTTATTCCTATTCCTATAATTTACGGACTTCATTTCCCAGAATGCTCAGCAATGGCCAGGATGACAAAGGAAAACGTGAGGAAGTCCTCACGAGAATAAACCAGGGGTGAAATTCAGCAGGTTCTGGAGAACTGGTAGCGATAATTTTGAGTAGTTCGGAGAACCGGCAAATAACATCTCTGGCTGGCCCCAGAGTGGGTTGGGAATGGGGATTTTGCAGTATCCTTCCCCTGCCATGCCCACCAAGCCACGCCCACAGAACCGGTGGTAAAAAAAATATGAATTTCATCACTGGAATAAACCTCTCTTTACATTTGGATTATAGTCTCTTTACACTCCACCAAGGCCTGGACTGATGACTGATGTCCAAGAGAGAACAGCAGGGGAGGGCCTCAAGATCACCAGTTTGGGAGACCAACCGGAGGAGGTCACTTCATACAACCAGGAAAGGATACACTTGGTGCTTCAAAAGCTGTTTTCTTTTTGACTTCCTCATTTTGGTCTTTTCTGAGAAAGCTCTGGCAAGTTCAAACAACTTCTTGCGTGTCGCTGAAAAGAAAAACATTGGCTCTTTTAGCAGCTGGGTGGGGTGGAGGGGGGAAGAGCAGTATCTCCAAATCATTCTTATACTTGGGTATGGGCTTCATGTTGCCAAAGTGAGAGGCATAAGGACTAGTAACTTGATGAAGATAAAAAAACTACAGCTCCTTCAAGATGCTGAATTTTGCAGCTGTGCTACATTTAGTCTTAACTGAAGAAAAAAAAATAGAGGGGACTCTCTGGAAAAGGCAGAGGTCACCCTATCCATAGGACCAGATCTCTGCCTGTCTTTCCCATGCAGGGTTAAGGTTAAATGACAAGATTGCTTCCTCTTTTCCTAAAGGAGAAGGAACTGGCAGTTAATTCTTTCTCCAGAATCGACTTGGGATAAAGTCTGATGTAGCTACATCCACCTATGTGTCAAAATCAGGGAAGCAGCAGATGTAATTCAAACCTTGCCTCTGAATGAGTATGTGACATTCCATCCATCATCTTTCCAATTTTGACACTTGTGCACACAAATCCACCCATGGATGCTCTGAACTGATGATTACAAGGTATTTGGGGAATGAAAGGAAGATTGTTGTATCTTCTAATGTCTTATTGCTGCTCCCTGCTTTGGCACATCTGATCCCTGAGACAAATTGCTTATATATATATATATATATGTATATGTATATGCATATGTATATATACACATATATACATATACATATACATATACATATACATATAC